TCAGGCACTATAAGATTGACAGGTACGCAGCGGCGGAGGCCTCCTTCAGAAGAAGGGTCCTCCAGAAGGTGCTTAGGGATACTGATGAGTCAACAGACCAGACGGTGTCCCCCCCCATAGGACAGGCCCCAGCTTTGGTATGTCCCATCACTGGACGATCCGACCAGCTCCAAGGAGAATGGGCGTTGGTCCTTACCTGACACACCACTTCTCTGGGAGCTGGGAGGATCGTCCAGCCCCTCCCTTTTCTTTCTTGTCTATTTCACTGTCTGGAGGGGGGTCTTGCTTTTTGGCCAGTGCACTTTAAGTTTAGTAAGAGGAGGGCACGACTGCCGGGACTCCTTGTCTTCGCATAAACTGGGACGCCAGGACTGGACACGTGATGGAAGAAGGAGGCGTCCCATGGAAATTAAGCTCAGCCTACAACAGCAGAGACTGAAGTTCCACCCATCACTGGACGATCCTCCCAGCTCCCAGAGAAGTGGCATGTCAGGTAAGGACCAACGCCCATTTTTGATTCTGGACTTTGATAATTGGATTATCCCTGAACTGAACACTGACTGCTTTACCTGTGAATGACTTGGACTGCTTTTCTTGGACTGTGCTTAAACGTTTATTGGAAGTAAAAACCTACATTTACTGTACAATGTATCTTTGTGCTGTGTGTGTATTATTCAACACTACTCTTCACTACGTCTCCCTGTATGCGCTCATTCTCCTAACGAGGAATTACCTCAACATTGGTCTTCAGAAACCTGAAAACCAGGTGGCTGCCACGCATGCATGTGCTGGAACCCGGAAAAGCAACAGAGATGGCTCCACGTGCCTGGAGAGATGGCTCTGCGTGCCATTTCTGATACGCATGCCATAGGTTCGCCATCATGGACATAGGCTATAGTAGTAGAAGCCTGCAAGCCTGAAAGGTAAAAAATATTTTACTTTTCTTCCCTTTTATAACCTTCTGAGTCCAAGGGCCTGGAAGGTGTTTTGGAGGATTCCAGAGGCTCAGTTTTGGACCTGGAAGGCCTCCCAGAGGACTCCCATTTTTGCTAGCAGAGGCACCGCAGGCTGGTCCTTGCTATTTCCAGACCAGCTCCATGGGCCAGATCTAAACACCCCACGGGCCAGATCCAACCTGCGGTCTTGAGTTTGACACCCCTGACCTAGTATGTTAGGTTGCAAGATATTATGTTTTTGTGGCTAACTTATTTTTCTGAGATATTTGTACTATGTCTCTTCTATCAACTTGTTGAACTTTCATAAAGATATGTTGATCCTTGGCATTCAGAATTCTGACTTGTAGGCTTTGTGACACCTGAATGGGATATTCTTGATCAATTGGGGCACATTTTACAGCACACATTTTGAGGAATACCATATTTTAAGTATAAATACTGTATATGGTGTTGACTTTTTATTCCCAAAATATTAGTTTATACTTTTCTGAGAAACATTCTCTACCCTATCTCATTCTGTCATTGTTCAATTAACTACTACAGTTAGCACATTGTGGGAGCTTCTAAGTTTCTTCTGCATGCAGAAGACAATGCAGCAGCGTCTACAAGTGACAAATATCTGGGACAGAAAAAGTTTTTTGAAGAATCAGACCAGTATTCACTATCCTTTCCAAAACTCCATGGAGAATATTGATTTAAATACTTGCGCTATAATTATTGTATTTGAGGAAAGTTTTGTTTACATTGGAGAACAGTGAAAAGTTTCCTTCAGTTTTTATTTCATTCATTTTTGGTAAGGTATCTGGCAATTTTGTATGTGTACAGAAGAGAATGATGGTAAGAGACCTGAATCCAATGAATGATTACTGTCATTTCTCTGATTTAGTGGATCATATAAAAAGTGTGAGATATCTAGAAGAAGTCTGAAAAGAAATATTTCTTCAAAATTTTGATTCTTGCTTGAAAAGGATCAGTCCTTGTTGTGATTTGTGGGACTGGATTTTTGCAAATGTAATAGAAGAGGTTCAAATAGCATGCCCAAGATTATTAAAATTCTTGGTGAAATTGAACATTTTCCTGTCATACATGACATAATTGACCTCGAAAGCTCCATTAGAGAATGTGTGAAAAGGTATTATTTCTGTCCATATCCTGACTTTCAAAGCTGTAAAACTTGGCTTGTAAAACTGTGCTATTTTCTGTTAGATTCATCCATTTCCTGGTGTTAGTACTGGTAACCATCTATGGTCTTAGTTACATAAGGCGTACCTCAAGGACAGATACTTACAACAATGTATTGAATGATATTAATCTTGCTTAAAATTAATTAATGGAATAATTCAAATACACTGCTCAAAAAAATAAAGGGAACACAAAAATAAGACATCCTAGATCTGAATGAATGAAATATTCTTATTAAATACTTTGTTCATTACATAGTTGAATGTGCTGACAACAAAATCACACAAAAATTATCAATGGAAATCAAATTTAGCAACCCATGGAGGTCTGAATTTGGAGTTACACTCAAAATTAAAGTGGAAAAAAACACTACAGGCTGACCCAACTTTGATGTAATGTCCTAAAAACAAGTCAAAATGAGGCTCAGTAGTGTGTGTGTCTGTATGACCTCCCTACAACACCTGGGCATGCTCCTGATGAGGTGGCGGATGGTCTCCTGAGGGATCTCCTCCCACACCTGGACTAAAGCATCCCCAACTCCTGAACAGTCTGTGGTGCAACATGGCATTGGTGGATGGAGCAAGACATGATGTCCCAGATGTGCTCAATTGGATTCAGGTCTGGAGAACGGGCAGGCCAGTCCATAGCATCAATGCCTTCGTCTTGCAGGAACTGCTGACACACTCCAGCCACATGAGGTCTAGCATTGTCGTGCATTAGGAGGAACCCAGGGCCAACCGCACCAGCATATGGTCTCACAAGGGGTCTGAGGATCTCATCTCGGTACCTAATGGCAGTCGGGCTACCTCTGGCGAGCACATGGAGGGCTGTGCGGCCCCCTAAAGAAATGCCATCCCACACCATTACTGACCCACTGCCAAACCGGTCATGCTGGAGGATGTTGCAGGCAGCAGAACATTTTCCACGGCGTCTCCAGACCCTGTCAAACCTGTCACATGTGCTCAGTGTGGACCTGCTTTCATCTGTGAAGAGCACAGGGCACCAGTGGCGAATTTGTCAATCTTGGTGTTCTCTGGCAAATGTCAAACATCCTGCACGGTGTTGGGCTATAAGCACAACCCCTACCTGTGGACGTCGGGCCCTCATACCACCCTCATGGAGTCTGTTTCTGACCGTTTGAGCAGCCACATGCACATTTGTGGCCCACTGGAGGTCATTTTGCAGGGCTCTGGCAGTGCTCCTCCTGTCCCTCCTTGCACAAAGGCAGAGGTAGCGGTCCTGATGCTGGGTTGTTGCCCTCCTACGGCCTCCTCCACGTCTCCTGATGTACTGGCCTGTCCCCTGGTAGTGCCTCCATGCTCTGGACACTACGCTGACAGACACAGCAAACCTTCTTGTCACAGCTCGCATTGATGTGCCATCCTGGACTACCTGAGCCACTTGTGTGGGTTGTAGACTCTGTCTCATGCTCCCACTAGAGTGAAAGCACCGCCAGCATTCAAAAGTGACCAAACCATCAGCCAGAAAGCATAGGAACTGAGAAGTGGTCTGTGGTCACCGCCTGCTGAACCACTCCTTTATTGGGGATGTCTTTCTAACTGCCTCTGCTTTCCACCTGTTGTCTATTCCATTTGCACAACAGCATGTGAAATTGATTGTCAATCAGTGTTGCTACCTAAGTGGACAGTTTGATTTCACAGAAGTGTGATTGACTTGGAGTTACATTGTGTTGTTTAAGTGTTCTCTTTATTTTTTTGAGCAGTGTATATTTGGATGCCAACAAGCTCTGACACTATTTAAAAATATCATTTTTGTTAGAGTGCTTTGAGTACATATTAATTAAATATTATAAAAGCCAAGGGCTTTGAACATCTTTATGTCACTAACAGAAAGAAACACTATCTTTTTTTCTTTTACTGTTAATTCTTACTTTGGAAATCAGGAATCTTAAACACGAACTATTACAACAGTGTGAACAATCCAAACCATTACTAGAGTAACATTTGAGCGTAACAAAATATTAGTTTTGTGAGTTGTATAGAAAAACTTTTATTAAAGATGAACCTACAAGAAGAAATTGGCACATTTATCAAAAGGGAACTAAAATTGCACTTATTAATAATTAAGATGTACTTTAAAGTCTTTGACTAAAGATGTTCTGATTATAAACTTATTTAAATGGATTAAAGTTAGAGTCTTCTTTACATCAAGTAGAGGATTTTGGAATTTGGGTGGCAGAATTATTTACATAGTAAAAAAACAACCTCTGTTGTATAATGGTACTACATGCTGCTCTTAGCAAAATAGTTTGGTTGTGGAGCAGTTGTGTGATGCTGAAATACGTAATTCATTTTTATTTCAAGAATGAAAAGCAAATTTTGCGAGTGGGGAAAAATCATTTGAGGTCTTCAAAGAGAGAGTGAATTATCATCTGTCAGAAATGCTTTAGTGGAGCCTGCACTGAGCAGGTGATTGGACTACAATAATGATATCTGTGGTCTCTTCCAACTCTGTGATTCTGCAGATTTATAAGAGAAAAATAAAATTTTGAAAAGGCTGAAAGAAGTTCTGTTCATTTTCATGTTCTCAACAGTCGCAGAGAATATTGATGATGTAAGGGTACAGAAGAATAAATTTGATTATGCTATTAGCTATTTCTTATTTTCAGCAGTGAGTCTCGGGAAGACAGATCTGATAATCAGTGATTTGGATAAATCAGTTACTGTTAAGAGTCTGGTTTAGCATGTTTTTAGTGTTATATATTGTGATCTTATAGCTTATTAGATGTGTATCCCTAGATACATTTCAAAATAGTTTAACATATTCCAGCAATCCTAAAAGTTGATAGGTTGGACATAAAAAAAAAATCTGAACTTAACCTTTCTTTTCCTCCAGGGAGAGCCAAAACCATTTCTACAGCAACTGGGAATCAACCTGGGTCAGATCATAGCAACCGAGAAGGATCTAGTCAACGAGTACCACGGCAGTCAAGTGCCAGCAGGCTGCCGAAGACTGGATGTCCTGTGAAAAATACATAGATACCTAGAAAATGGCTAATAAATTATTCTGATTTTCCAAAATGTCAAACACTGTTCATTCCAGGAAAGCCAATGACTAGAATACTATGAAAAGTTCTAACAATTAAAAAATATAATGAGCCTGTCCGATTTAATTTCTTGTTCAGTTTAAATATCAGGCAGTACAGAATATACTGTTTCTGTATTTCTTGTATTACTGTTTATGATTATATGTAGCTTTGCTACTTGTTAATTTCTGTTGGAGAAAATTTCTTTTTTGAAATTAAGATAAATAAATATCTTGTCTCCTATGGAATCCATGAGCTTATTCACAGAACATTTTTGGCAGTACAAGTAGGCCTTGACTTACAACCACAATTAAGTCAAAAATTTCTGTTGCTAAGCAAAACATTTGTTAAGTGAATTTTGCCCCATTTTATGACCTTTCTTGCCACAGTTGTTAAGTGAATCTCTGCAGATTCTGCAAGTTAGTAACATGGTTAAGTGAATCTGGCTTTGCTTGTGAGAAGGTTGCAAAAGGTGACCCCAGGAAACTGCAACCATCATAAACATGAACCAGTTGCCAAGCATCTGAATTTTGGTCATGTGACCATTGGGATGCTGCAACAGTCATGAGCGTGAAAAAGAGTCACAAGTCCCTTTTTCCAGTGCTGTTGTAACTTTCAGTGGTCACTAAATGAACTGTTGTAAGTCAAGGACTACCTGTAGTACAGAAGTGATTTGCCATTGTCTTCTTCCATAAATGAACGAATGAAAATCTATCTCCCTCTTCAGTCAAGCCTATGGCTCTGGGATTTTCTGATGGACTTTTATGCAAATGCTAATCAGATCTGACCTTGCATAATTTTTCCAAGATTAGCCAAAGCTGGTTGGATACAGAATTATTGGATGGATGCCATCTTTCACCCAATAGGCAGCCAACCCTAAATCCTGAATTCTATGCAAATGATTTTGGGAATAAATTCAGTAAGAATTAGGGTTATTTCAGTCTGCTGCTGCATTCCTGAAACATATTTATTAACGAATACAGAACAAAGATGCAAATGCAATTCTAAGCTCATTTAGCCTGTTAAACATGCTAAAGGACCATTTTTGAAGCACTAATTAGAGAGAAAATAACTTTGTAGTTAAAGTATTCTTCAAAAAATGTAGTGACTGCTGGTTCAGAACAAAATAAGACTGGCAATGACTTTATGCTATCCTTAATATCGACCTGCATGAATTTGAACTGCATTTGCTGAGGAACAACAGCAGGAGAGCCTGTACATGCTTATTATAGTTGTATAGCTGGTGTGATTTCTCTAGTATTATGTCTGTGCCTCACATAGCTCACCAACAATTAGTTTTCCATTTTTGATCTAAGTGTGCAGTTGTTAAATAATATTTGTATTCCATGAAAAAGCTTTTCTTCAATCCTTTCTTCTGATGTTTGATGTGAAGGGAAGGTTTCAATTTGGCTACATTACGATAGGCATTTGAAAAACTAAGATGATTATGAAGGTTACATAAAACAGAGCAAGGAGTTTTTGAAAAACCACAAAGGATTGCAGAAAAACATGTAAGAGATAGTGTAACAAAACGAATCAATTTGTGGCATATTTTGAATTATTACCTACCTATCATCTGTGGGAAGAACTGCTTCCCTGCATTTTTCAGTAATGTGCAACCCTAGTTCTAATACAGGTAGTCTTTGACTTATGACGTTAATTGTTAGGTTGTGGGTCAAGTGAAGAGGCAGAATGATTGTAAAGCTTAAAGCGTTTATTGACAATCCAGAAACAAAAGAGGCTGAGCAGTTGCCGGTTCCAGGCTTTTAAGCCGGGAGCTGTCCGGCGTTTCAGCCACTGACAGTTCTTCAATTTCCCGCCTGATAAATTGCACCAATGAGTGGAGTCTTATGTCAGATTCCACTCCTTATTGAATATTTAATATTAATGGAGCCTGTCTACTCATGTCAGAAGTTGAGGACTACGTTAAATAAAGCAACTAACAATATCCTTGTCCCTGCTTTCCCCAATGCATTTGTTAAACAAATTTGCAAGTCATTACATAGAGTATGGGGTGACTCAGGGATGGAAGAAACCGAGGGAGGCCTAGTGCGGGTACAGGCAGGAGGTCTCGCCCACCCTCTAAAGCAGTGGTTTCAAACTAGATTTCTTCGAGGGCTGGATCAACATTGTAGTTCTCTGTGGGCCAGTGGCGGAGGGAGACAAGACGGACGCTTCCTGCAACACCCTGACAGCCAAAACGGGTGCACGGAGGTCCCACATGGCACCCACATGGCCCTTTTTGGCCAGCAGTGTGCTGCAGGAAGCTGGGGAGGCCGAAAATGGGCCAGTCCTTTGATATTTCCAGGCTGGCTCCATGGGCCAGATTGACATCCCTGCTTTAAGGTGCTCTGCCTCCTGATATCTTCTTTGCTCTACCAGCGTAAGACTAGTGTAAAGCTAGCAATGGTAGAGCAAAGAAGAAATACAATCTCTTTTGTTTCCATGACAATCCTTTCCTCCCCAGCCAGGCTAAACCTCTACAATATCTTCTTAGTGCCACCAGCGTATGACTAATATACTGTAAAGCTAACGTTGGTGTGCTAAGAAGCAATTGCGTGCAAAGAATCAAAATAGGCATAATTTCTTCTTAGTGCTGCCAGCATATGATTAACATTAAGCTAAAGTTGGTGGTGCTAAGAAACAATTGCTTGCAAGGTATCCAAATAGGCATAATTTCTTCTTAGTGCCGCCAGCTCTAGTTTTATACTAGTCTTACACTGTTGGTGCTAAGAAGAAATCATAGTGATTTATGCTGACTGGAGAGGAACCAAAATAGGCATGATTTCTTAGCATCACCAGCACTAGCTTTACACTGGTCTTACAGTGGTAGAGCAAAGAAAAAAATCAAATCTTTTGCTTCCATGGCAATCCTTTTCTCCTCAACCAGGGTAAATCACTTCCGATTTATGCTGGCTGGGGGGAAAGGATTGCCATGGAAACAAAAGAGATCAGATTTCTTCTTGATTATGCCACGTGGCCCAGCATGGGAGCAGCCTTCTCTATGCTGACTTCCTAGTAACAGGGGAATTGGGTTGGGGAGGAATGCATAGAACCCAATATCTTGGCAAAGCAGACCAACGTACTAGGTTCTAGGGGCCTCTGAGGACCTGGCCAGACAAGAATGAGAGGGAAATAGGTGGGTGAGTGTGCTGCAATGTCTCTGCAGTCAGTCATGAGGGCGAATGACCACAAGAGCACTGTAGAATTTATAACTTTGAAACAGATTTGTATTTAGCTTTTGAGTTATGCATTGTCACTTCAAACATTTGTTGAATGGCCTGTCATACCTCAAGGATTACATATATCTTGAGCCATCTTGTTTCCCCAGCAGCTTCATCTCTATTTTATCTGCTGCTCTGACCTTTCCCCTGCATTTTCTCTGTAGCCTTTCACCTAAATTTAAAGTAGTATCTGTTGGCACATTAAATTCTGGGAGGCAGTTCCTTACTGCAATTGTCTCCTCTTATACTGCTATTTTGTAAGTTTATATTATACATTTAAAGTAATAAAATGAACTATTTTTTGACTTTGGATGCCTCTCTACACTAGCTGACAGATGTACTAAATTTGTTTTCTTTGCCTGGAGATATTTAAATAACTATTTAAATAACAATGACTGTTCATAGAAATAACATAAATAATTTAATGTTAGAATTTTGCATACATACAGGGCAGTATTTCAGTTCACTTTGTGGCAGCCTTAGATATTATTTTGGTGCCCAGAATTTTGTTTGTCATTTGATCAACATAAATGATTATCAACTAAAGTTGAAGGCAAGGGATTGAGAAATGTGCAACTTGCTTATTTAATTATGACAGTATAGATAGTCCTCAACTTACAACCATTTGTTTAGTGGCTGTTCAATGTTACAACAGCACTGAAAAAGATGACTTATGACCAGTTTTCACAGATATGTCCGTTGGAGCATCCCCATGGTCACATGATCAAAAATTTAGGCACTTGGCAACAACTGTCATATATTCATGATAGTTGCAGTGTCCTGAGATCATGTGATCACCATTTGTAATGTTTCCAACTGGCTTTCCACAAACAAAGTCAATGTGGGAAGCCAGATTCACTTAACAACTGCAGTGATTTGCTTAACAACTGTGGCAAAAAAGTAATAAAATGGGGCATAACTCACTTAACAACTGTCTTATTTAGCAACAAATTTTGGGCTCAATTGTCATAAATTGAGGATAATTTGTATTTGCTAAATACATAGTTGAGAGGCTGATAGCACTATTACAGTTATGGTTATTTTTGCCTCCTTCAAAGTAGGCATAAATAATAATTTATTATTACTGCAGTATGTGGTTATCCGCAAATCTTGTGGTGGAACATACAGAAAATACAATATTAAGTTGATCAGCATTAGAAGAGAAAATGCTAGGGTTTAATTTAATTTGGATGTATTATAAACTGTTTTAGGATGATTTGACTTTGAAGGATGGCGTTTCTTTCAAAAATAAAATATTAAGGAATAAATAAAAGGAAAAACATTATAATTTTGTATAAGTATGCCTATATGAAAGCCAAAACTATACTAACTCCTAAATACTAAATGTGGAAAAAAAATTGTTTGTTTTTCAGTTCAAGCCACTTTTGTGAATGAAGAAGTTTTTCCCCAGACTAAATCCAATACAGGAAAATACAGACTTAATACCTTACAGCTAGTTAGAACTCGGGTGTGGAACAGGAGACGGTCCCAAAAATACCCTACTATTCATTGATAGAAAATTTTAGAGTGATTCTAGTGAGGACAAAATAGGAAGACACCTTGATTAAAGGTGGCCAAGAACTTAGCAACCCCCGGGAATGAAAGTTGATGCTACAAAAAATTACAAAAGTCTAGTTGGATCAGCTTGTGTACTGTTACCTGTACTGAGTATACTATTGGCTGTCATGATAAGAGCAGGGAGGGATTTACCAGAGCTCTGTAGTACCCTTGGGGTGTCTTTTAAAAAGCTGAGGAGGTAGTTAGTTCAAAGCTTAATTGGACTGTTTAACCAAACTGGAAAATGTTCCGGCTTTTCAGACACACTAAGCAGCTGTGCTGCTTTCAGATGAAACAAACATTGCAGAAACCACTTTGGCCTCTCACTTTTTCAGCACTGGTGAAGCAGAATAGGTAAGTGAAGAAAAAATAGCACTAAAAATGTTGACATCTTCAGGCTTTGTAATCAAAGTTTTAATTTTACACAAACTTTTCCAATGGTAATCTACTAGAAATTTTGATAAGAAAATTCTGCTTTAATCATAATGAGTACTAGAAAAATAGATTAATAAAAGTCAGGGTGTTTTAAAATAGGATCACCAGCTACAAATCTGCAAGTGAAAAAATGCCTCTTAAAACTCTTTTCTCTATGAAAAAAAGCATGCACAAGTGTTTTCAACTTCCATCTTCTATCTTGCCTTTAATTTCAATATAACTGGCTATTTGTTACAATTTCTTCTCTTTGTGAAAGATCATTTTTGAATGTGTACATCTGAATCATATAAGAACAATGAGTTAAATCATATAAAGAAACTCAGAGTATCTGATCCATGAGAATGCATGTGAGAATTTTTTTTTACCAAATTATGTAGATTTTGAATAGCAAGCCGTTTAATTAATTGGTAATGCAGAAGCAGTTTGATCCAATGTTAACACTGATGGCATAAAGGGCTACAATTAGCTCAGGTGTCTTACAATTTATAAAAAATATATGAGAAAGTCTTTACCAGTTTTCACAGAAAGGATAGTTTCTATTCCAGTTCATTAAATGTATAATTTTACTTTTTTCCTACTTAACATAAATATTTTCACTGTGTTGCACTTTCCATTTTTCAGATCTCAAGAAGATAGTTCCAGTGGTCTCACATAATATTTTAATCAGTGCACAATGAAATATTAAACCCAAAAGTCAACAATCAATGCAAAATTTAAAATTGGGATTCAAAATCCCACTCACACTTAATAGTATACTGATGCAGACTTTGTTGCTCGTAGCCCTGATAAACTATTCCTTTAAATAAGAAAATACTCTTATTTACTTTGATATCCCTCCTTTAAAAAAAAGAACTAATTTTATATTTATAATAAAGCAATCCAAATTAAAATTAGCATTTCAAGTAGTCCTTGATCTACAACAGTTCATTTAGTGACCAAAATTACAACAGCACTAAAAAGTGACTTATGACCGTTTTTCACAATTACAACTTTTGAAACATCTCCATGATCATGTGATCAAAATTCAGATACTTGGCAACTGGTTCATACTTATGACTGTGCTGTGTCCCAGGGTTATGTGATCACCTTTTGCAACCTTCTGACAAGCAAAGTCAATGGGAAAGTCAGAATCATTTAATAACTAGGTTACTAACTTATCAACTGCAGTGATTCTCTTAACTGTGGCAAGAAAGGTCATAAAATGGGGCAAAACTCACTTAACAAATATCTCACTTAGCAAGATAAATTTTGGTTTCAATTGTGGTTGTAAGTTGAGGACTACCTGTATCTCTATTATAATAGGAAGGAAAAATCAGAATAAAAGCAAGGAGATTGAATTTTTAGAATATTGTTTTTGTGGGGTCTTTAAGGGGCAATAACTTAAATAATACATGCTCACATCCTTTGGACCTGACCCATAGTGCTGTCCAGAAATGTTGATCTTGTGCAGATGTAATCAAAGGTCTTTGTATTAAACATTAACCTCTTGGATAACAATATGTTAGGGTTAGGATGAGCAAACATCTTTTAGGCTATTGGAATGCATCTATTTATAAGATGCTGTAGATCTAAACACAGTAAACGTGTTAATTCTGCGGTTCACCCAAATACTAAAGTACAAAGAAAACTTAAGATACTACTCAAATCATATATCTCAAGTGTTTATCCATATTTAAAATAAATGTTTCTAGTTTGCTCTTCATACAAGTTTGCAAAAAACTAAAATCTATAAAGTCAAACCTATCAGTGACAATATAACAAAACAGAAATTATAGAAATTGTTCTCACCAGTTATCAAAGCCTTTTTTAAAAGGATGAAAATATAACTGTAGAAAATAAAAAGGCTATTTCAAGAACCTGTCTCAAAAGGCAGCACCTGAATATCAGTACCACAGTGAATACAAAATGTTTTTGGTTTTTTTGCAGAGATTTACCTAATTTGTTTCACTGACAAAAAAATTAAAACAAGATTCCTTGGAACTCAAGTATAGAAGCAAATCTTTATTACCATAAATAAGCCCTTTTTATTTATTTGTTTATACAAATCAAATTTGTTTATACGGATCTCAAAGAACTGGGGATGCCTGCAATACATCTATCATTGAATTAGCCCTCTCCAGCACTAAGAATTTCCACATTCATTTAAAAAGCTGCCTTGAATGCAGCAGTAGTCTTATCTGAAGGCTGCCACTGCAGCTCCAAGCACATTTGTGTCATTGTTGATTGTAATGTACTTCACTTTTCCATAAGCTTCATGGTGATATTAGAGATGCAGTGAGAAAAATGAGCACTGCACTGTTTCACCTCAGATTGTATGGTAATGCCTAAATGTGGAGCAACAGTTATTTGCATGGTGGGGTTTCATTATAGTACATTTACCTAGCAAACAGGATTGTGAATATTCCTTTTCTTTAATCCCTGAATATAAATACACCTGCTCTTATTATTTGCTTGGGGGATATTCATGAGGCAAGCAAGGTCCTTCGCTGCATCAGTCCAAAACATGTTTGTTTTGTAAGATATTCCTCCTAATAATGTAGAAGCCAGAATTATATCTAAATGTGTATTATGAAAAACCTTTCCTTTTTACTTGTCTTGCAGTTTCTCCACAGATTCTATACAATCACTCCAGACAATCTCTCCATGGCCTAAGGATGTGGGTATCCTTGCTCTGGAGGTATATTTCCCATTGCAATATGTAGAACAAAGTGAGTTAGAGAAATATGATGGGGTGGAATCAGGGAAATACACCATAGGCCTAGGCCAGAAGCAGATGGGTTTCTGTGCTGCACATGAAGACATCAATTCCTTGTGCCTGACTGTGGTACAACATCTGGTAGAGCGAAACAATCTCAGCTGGGATTCTATTGGCCGCCTGGAAGTTGGAACAGAAACTATTATTGACAAATCCAAAGCTGTTAAGACTGTTCTGATGCAGCTCTTTCAGAATTCAGGGAACACAGACATTGAGGGCATTGACACAACCAATGCCTGCTATGGAGGTACAGCTTCTCTATTCAACTCTGCTGATTGGGTGGAATCCAGCTCCTGGGATGGTAAGTGTTGGCAGACTTTAGTTCAGTTCTTTTAGTGGTAGAGCCCAAGGTTTCTCATTTTCTGCAACTTTAAGATGGGTGGAGACCAACTCCCAGAACTCTGGGAATTGGAGTCCACATGTCTTAAAGACACTAAGGTTGAAAAACAATGGTATAGCCAGATTGTTGGGGGCAATATGCTGACTATGTAAACCGCTTAGAGAGGACTGTAAAGTTTTATGAAGCAGTATATAAGTCTAAGTGTTATTGCTATATACTTTCCATTAACCCCCCCCCCCACTTCTGCATATGAAAAACAGTCAATTCAAAGCCCATGCACCAATTCTAGGATATCAAACAAAAATAGCAAAGAAAATGCAAAAGAGCATGGTGATGAGCATTTGGTGATCATCAACCTTGTGTCAAGAGCAAAAATAATGTAACAAAGCAGAAAGTACATGAAGACCCCCTCTCAGTTACTTCTGTAAAGAAGCAGAGCTCACTCTGGAGGAAATGAAATAGAGTAAATAGAGATTACAGTTCTTGTGTCACTGCCCTATGCTATTAGGTCAGTAAACAAGAAAGCAGCCCTAATATCTACTAATTAATTAACTAATGCTGCCTATTAACTGAACCACGAATGTGGGATGACCCCAATATTGCTATTTCCCCAATGGGAGAAATTATAGAGGCTTCAGTATATCCCAAGTTTCCTATAATTTAGCCAATAGTCTACAGCCTCCCAAAAGAAATCCCATAGAGTTATTTGAGACTGACCTTTGAATAAACATATTATGGACTAGATTTTTAAGACAGATGACCACCCCCTTTAAAAAAAAAGAAAAAGAAATGTGTAGGTAATTAAACTCTGCTTTTCTCAGTTGCAATACAATTATATTTGTCAAGAAGTTTCCATATGGAAGCTCCTTTCAAAACCCATACTGATTGCAGTGCAATTTCCAGATTTCAAAAGTGCACATTAGTAGTTTTCCATTAACCTTTGAATCATGATATAATAAGATCTGCCCTTTGGTTCTAGAGCTCAGCATGTTTAGAATATGCCTGATTGCAATGTAGAACATTAAATAAAAGCCTGGACTTTAGTCTCTGTAAGACACTAATTTTGTGGCCTTCGGAAAAACAGGATCTCTCCATTTCAAATCCATTTCAACCAACTTGGGAAAATAGTTCTAACACTGCTGTGATAGAGTTCAGAGAGTAAGCTGGGGAGGCTTGGGACTCCCCAGTGACTTTAAAGACACTTGGCCTCCACCCAGAGTTCTGTGATTGGACAGTAGATGGAGAAATAGGGAAGTAAAGGATATGGCTGCCTCCTTCCACAGGGTTGTTAGGAATATTACTAGGAAATGGCTAATTTTGTTAAAGGAGCCACAATTTCAGAAATTGTCATTGTGTGCCACCATAATATTGAGTTGGGGAGGAGGCACAAAAAGCACAAAATGAAGCTATATCTACCTTGAAAGAACTGTGATTTTTCTTCTTTCCACCCTTGTTATGAGTTTTATTACTGATGTTGCTGCTGTGATTTCCCCCATAGCGCTTTTCACCAACAGGGAATGGTTGAAAAGTCTTCCTTCCCCACCAAGGTTTCCCAAATCAGACAATTTTGAGGGGGGGAAACCCTAACATATTATCCCTCCTTCCCTGCCTTTGCCTCCTAAGAGGATGACCCTGCCACTTAACAGTGGGTGTATCTTTTCAGATCCAAAGGGTGCAGGCTGGGGGAGAAGGTGTGGTACCACAGAATTCACCAACTATATTCACTCATTTGATGTGGTCCTGCTTCAGGAGACCTGGGCATGCGATAAGATATCCCTTACAGGGTTTATGGTCATTTCCTTGGCCACCACCAGACAATCTATGACAGGAAGGCCTAAGGGTGGTCTAGCTTGCTTGGTCTCTACTTCTTTGAAAGTGGAGACAGTGAAGCTGCCCCCCTGTGGGTCTTTAGCTATAGCGCTCCTAATTAAGACAGGACGCAGCAAACTGTTAGTGTTCAACGTTTATCTTCCAACGATGAGGCAAGCTGATACTAAGGCTCAATGGGGCGTGTATGGAAACTAAATTCCCAGCGCTGTACATCCTTATAGGGGGCGATTTTAATGCCCAATTGGGAGTCCAAGTTCCATCGATTGAGGCACTCTACTCCCAAGAAACCCTCAAGGCCATAGGACACCTGATTTCAGCCAGACATTCTAAGGATGAATTAACAAATTTTGCTGGCATTCAGTTAGCCCTTTTAGCAGCCCAACACAATAAGATAATTCTTAGTGGGAGTACCCTAGATGATCTAGCTGGTGGGTTTACTTTTAGTTCCTCACGTGGGAGTAGTGTTATTGATTTTGTGCTGGTATCCCAGCTTCTTAGAAAGGCAGTCCATGCTTTTTATGTGGACTGCCTTACGGGGAGCGACCACTACCCCCTGGTTACAATCATTGGGCTTTCCTCAAATATACATCTCCCTAAGGGTCCCCAGATATTAGATCCCTATGTGGCCTCGTATACAAGGAGGATCAAATGGTCTTCTAATACTGAAAGAAAGTTCCACTCCTTTTTATCATCTTGGGAGTATCTCAGCCTATACAATCAGGCCCTAACAAGTGTGGCTCAGGGACAATCTCGGCCTTTGAATCACTAATTAATAGTGTTCAAAGGGAGTTGGAGCCGTCCGTAGGCCAAGTGGTCCATATCATTCAAGAAGTAATTCTTGGTTTGACAAAGAATGTTTGATGCTCAAGAACCAGATTAATCAGGTTTACCTGCTCTATCGTAATCGAGGGGATAAATGCCCACCAGGGGACTACTATCGCTTGAAGCGGGAGTATAAAGGATTAATTGCTAAGAAAAAGAAAGCTAAAGAGAGAGAGAAGTGGGATCTACTTCTCCTCTCCATCCAGCAGAAGAACACTAGATTATTTTGGCAAATTGTTGCCAGCTCCTTGCCGGGTCATCAAGAACTCCCTCTCTGCTGTATTTCCAACAGAGATTGGGAAAACCATTTCTTGGCAATTTTCCAGGCATCAACAAGTTCGACCATGCTTGGGCCATAGCTGCCTCCTGCAGTTCCTGACTGGCAACCCATGATTCATGCTGAGATTACCGAACTTATCTCCAAACTCAAGTCAGGCAAAGCCCCTGGCCCTGATGCTATACCCCCTTGATCTGCTAAAATCCAATCCTGAGTGGTAGATTCCTCTCTTAGCAAGACTCTTCACGCATATCAATACCTCTGGCAGGATCCCTACCTCCTCGAGCTTAGCAATTATTGTTCCAGTTTTTAAATGAGGAAATAGGAACAACCCAGCCGACTATCGCCCCATAAGCCTGCTCTCCATCATTGGAAAACTGTATGCTAAATATCTCCAACATAGACTCCTCACTTGGGTTGAGGAGTCCAATATTATTGGTGCTGAACAGATTGGGTTTAAAGCGGTCTGTGCCACACTGGACCACTGCTTTGTCTTAGCGCACCTGGTCGATAAATATACTACCATACCAGGCGGCAAACTTTTTACTGCTTTTATTGACCTAAAGTCAGCGTTTGACTCAGTCCCTAGGGGACTGTTGTGGTCAAAACTGCTCAAAAGTTCTATCGATAGACGTCTTCTGTTCCTAATTAGACCCTTGTACAGGTCAGGTCAGGTGTGGTTTGCAGGAATAACTTTCAAATCCTATCCGATTAAGAACGGAGTAAGGTAGGGTTGTGTTCTGGCTCCTCTTTTGTTTAATTTATTCTTATCTGATTTGGCCTTTCACATTGGATGTATTGAGTCCCATGCCCCAAAGCTGTCAACTACGAAGATCCCGCTTCTTCTTTATGCTGACGATGCGGCCCTCCTTTCATTGTCAAGGCCAGGTCTGAAAAGATTACTTTCTGCATTTGGGTCTTATTGTGCTGAGAACCACTTGTCCATTAATTGTGACAAATCCAAAGTATTGGTGTTCTCTAGAGCCCAGAAATTGTATAACTGGGCTATCAATGGTAATGCTGTTAAGCAGGTTTTCCATTTTAAGTATTTAGGTATTCAATTTCAGAACACCGGTGCTTGGACTAGACATCGAACCCAGATGCTGAATTCGGCTTCTTGTAGTCACCAGCAGATTTTAAGATTTTTTTATACCCAAGGAGGCCAGTTTATTCCTTCTGCTCTGCGTATTTACAAAGCCAAAACTTTGGCTCAAACTCTTTATGGAATTCCCATATGGATACGGGGCTTCAAGGATTGTATTGAAAGAACCCAGGCTGTCTTTCTTAGAAAACTTCTGGGTCTTCCTCCTTGTGTTGGTTTTGCTCCGATGTACCTGGAACTGGGCACTCGATCAGTCGAATGTATGGCGTGGATTAACACCTTTAAATGGTGGTTTCAGGTGCTCTTTCTGGCAGTTCCTGGTAGCTACCTCTCCCTGGCATTTGCTGACTCTCATATTTCTCGTTGGGAGAGGGAGCTGTTGAAGAAATTACACCTGCTAGGTTTTACGGGGGGAGGGGGGGTGCCCTGGGAGATTATGGTCTTAAGGACGCCCAATTTAGGGTAGTCCAACGGCTTGCAATATCTATGAGCCAGAGCTAACAAAACTTGCTCCCCTCTGATCTTCAGCCAATTTAATAATTATGGACTGAGGATGGCTTCCTATTTTTACACTCTAACCATTCCCAAGTATAGAAGAACTTTCTCCCTAGCTCGCTTTAATGTCTTGCCCTCAGCACTACTGGATGGGTGATTTAAGAGGCTCCTGATTAACGAGCGGCTATACCCTTTTACAGAGCTGAGGTTGAAACTGTGGAGCATGTCCTTTTATATTGCCCTATGTATAACGCAGGCAGATCTAAGTTACTGTCTCTCCTTGAAACAGACCCTTCTAGACCCAATGTTAGTAATTTGTTCTTATATTGTCTAGGGGATGGCTCCTCATATATCACTTCTCAGGTTTCCAATTTTTTTTAAAGAGCTGTAACCATCAGAGGAGAACAGTGTAATTCCCCTTAGTCAAGTTTTTGGTGACCAATTGTTCATGATTAATTTTCCCATGTTCTTCTTTTGTTGTACTTGTGTTTTGGTCTGTGACAGCAAATAAAGTATTATTATTATTATTATCTCTTTTGGCTTAGGCCAGTGTTTCAGCAAATTTAAGATGGGTAGACTTCAATTCCCAGAATCCCAGAGCTGAACACATCTTAAAGTCAGTACAATTCAAAAACATTGGCTTAGGTAAAGTGTTATGTTCTTGAATAGATAATAGCTACTGGATCAGGAGTTGAAGCTACAAAAGAACTTTGAACCATTTTATGAAGAAAATCAGAAAGAGACTACTTCTCTTCATCAATGTTGACACTTTGGTGATGCTCTTGTCATGCTAGGTCGCTATGCCTTGGTGGTTTGTGGTGATATCGCTGTGTACGCTACTGGAAATGCAAGACCAACAGGTGGAGCTGGAGCTGTAGCTATGCTGGTTGGACCAAATGCTCCTCTGACTTTAGAGAGAGGTCAGTAAAAACATTTACAGTACTTAAATTTCAGCTAAAACCATTTTGAGGGGTGGGAGTATTCACTGCAGAAGAACAATATGGGTGTATAATGAAAACAATTCCTCAAAGGGAAGCTGATAATGAAGATGATCCTCCAACAACCTGAGTCTTATTGCAACCTTGTTAGCATTACAACATCCACATTCATAGTTTCACTGCCCTGACAGGGGCACTGCAACACAGACACTTGTCGGGTAGAACAAGTCCAGAACTATGAATTTATTCCGCTGCAAGTGAAAAAGATGAATAGGATAAAGATGGGTGCTTGCTAATTACTCAGCAGTCAGATACGCTGATGTATGCTGAACTAGAAATTCAAAAGAACTTGCAGGTGAAAAAGCAGATAGGTGTAGGGAGAAAGCTGCTCTTTATAATAAGCTTTTCATCTGCAAAAAAGAGCCCTTTGTGTCTGAGACATTAGTATGCTTCAGAGGGTATTCATAGAGTAGCTGCTTGTATTTTATGAGCAAACCACACTTACCTTACCTCTCCCTCCACACCAATAATGAGGAATTGTGTTTGCATTATCTGGAAAATGAGGAACTTCTGAAAAAAACTAATCAGAGCTCATACAGGGAAAATTAGGGGAACAGTCTACTTTTAACCACATGTCATATCAAGAGTCCTTTTAAGGAATTTTCCCATTATATTACCTGCTGTGGGGATAGGTTGGGGAGGTAAATTTAGAAGATGGAGTGTTTTTTCTACTCAAGGAACTTCCAGTTCATTTCAAAATTTTGGTAGTCTGGGTTAGTTTTAAAATGATGTATGAAAGGCCATATTCTAATGTGGAAGAAATTCATAGTCAGCAAACAATTTTTCTTTCCTGATCATTTTTGGATGGTCATTCTGACCATAATGTATTTTATTGTTTCTACTTTCCTATCTCATAAAATGCAAAAGTATTTTGTATATTCAAGCTGCAGATTTGTAATGACCTTCAGATCTTCACCAATGTTCAGTTTATATTTTTCATACTGGATCTTTCCCAAAAGTAGTTTCATATTCTGATACAATTCTTTCACCTTAGCTTTGGTACTGCCTTTACCTGTCATTTACCTGTCATACAATATTACCTGTAAGTAATTTATTTCCATTATTACCATTTAATTGTACACCACCACCAGTCGCCGCTATGAGGTGGGCAATCTCTAAATTTGATATTAAAATAAAAATTATGAAGCCAGTTTTTCATGAACTAACTTTTGTGGAGTTACTGAACAAGTGCCGCTCATTTACATTGTGTTCATGACCAAGAACATATAACTGAACATACTTCTTTACAAAACACTAGTCCATGTTCTTGTTAAATTCATCATGGCAGCTTGTTTGTTTCTTTGTTGTTTGCTTATTGGTCAGGTCGCAAAAGGGGATTGTGTGACCCCAGGATGCTACTGATTACTATTTTTCACACTTATGACCATTTCAATATCCCAATGGTCACATGATTTACAATTGCCGGCGTAGCAACTGGCCCGCATTTATGATGGTTGCAGCATCCTGGGGTCACATGATCTCCCTTTTGCGACCGTCTGACAAGCAAAGTCACTGGGGGAGCCAGCTTTGTTTAACCATCGTCTGACTTAAACAACAATCCATTTAACAGTGGTGGCAAGAAAGCTCGTAAAATGGGTCCAAGCTCACTGAACAGCTGTCTTGCTTAGCAACCGCGATTAAGAGAAGCCAGATTCACTTAATGATCGTGTGACTTATTTAGTGACTATTCAAGTTACAACGGCACTGAGAAAAGACACGTATGATTGTTTTTCACACTTAATGACCGCTGCAGCGGTCAGGTGATTCAAATTTGGACACTTGGTAACTGATTCATACTTATGATGGCCTCAGTGGCATCCTGGGGTCACACGATCCCCTTTTGCAACCTAACCAATGAAATCCAAGGGGAAGCCAGATTCACTTAAAAGCCATGTGACTTACTTAAGAGCTGCAACTATTTGCTTCGCAACGGTGGCAAGAAAGATTGTAAAATGGGTGAAAGGTCATTGAACAGCTGTCTTGCTTAGCAACAGAGATTCAAGGCTCAATGATGGACATATATTGCATTGGCCCAACCAAATCTAGAGCTCTTGTTGTCTGCCTCTTGCTCACTGGGAATGCCTTGGACTTTGATTATTTGTATACTGCACAATCCAAATACGCCTTACATCCCTTTACATGCAATCCTTCTGTATATTGTTCCATCTTTTGAACAACTTTAAAGCTGGCATGACCAAGCCTTCTGTGCAAAAGATGAATCAGGTTTTGCCACAATGCCACATGTGTATGCACACCGAACATTTTGTCCCTGCAACACATAAAGGTTATCTTGCTTTATGCCTTTTGCACATATTATGCCATTGTGCTTTATGAGACACTTCCCATTTACAAATGTAGTCTCAAAGACTTGCTTGTCTAAACTAGAGACACTCAGAAAATTATGCTCCATTTTAGGCACACACAAAACATCATTGAACCTTGTTTGCAGATATGGAATTTGCACACTGCCTCTTCCAATGACTTAAGGCTTTTTGCCATTTGCCAAGGCTACTGCATCTCCAGCAGCTGCACCCATCCTGTAAAACAATTTAGAATTATTAACAATTGTTTGACTAGCCCCACTGTCAATTAGCCATTGATTTTCTCCTGCAATAGCTGACTTTTGCAATAGCAGCCTGTCCATCAGTTAATTCTCTTCCTTGCAAATTACTTCTGTTTTGCAAACAATTCTTTCTTTGCAACTTGCTTCTTTGCAAACTGTCTCTCTTTAAATGAGTTGTTTCTCCACAAGTGAAGCACCTCTTCTGTTGCTGGGTTGTAATCTGATATCCCCTGCTGCTCTTCTCTTCTCTGGAGACAGCCAGTTTGTGGAATTTTCCATTCTGCTCCTTGGGCCACCTCCTCAGGGATTTCTCCTTATGGCTTCTTCTAAAATGGCGTTTCTGCTTTTCAGCTGGTAAACATGCTTTAAGAGCTTCCAAATGCAGTTCCTGCTCTGGTTTGCACTCAAACGCTGCAGAAACAATATCCCACGAATCATCTAGACCAGGGGTGTCCAACCTTGGCAACTTTAAGACTTGTGGACTTCAACTCCCAGAATTCCTCAGCCAGTCCACAAGTCTTAAAGTTGCCAAAGTTGGACACCCCTGATCTAGACTATTTAAAACTAGTAGTACTTTCTGAGATTCAGGAATCTGCATCCCACACTGTTCTAACTCCACAAACAATATTTGCATATTCACCAAATGCTGCTCAACAGATTCTCCAGGTTGCAGACTGGCTCTGTATAACTTTCTTGATAATTGCACAATATTGCATGCTGACACACTTACATGTATAGTCCTTAATGTCTTCCAGACTTTCTTTGCAGTCTTTAAATTAGCTACATTGATAAACTGATCATCTTGTAAACTTAAGATGATATAAGCCATTGTTTTATCATGCTGCCTCTAATCTGCAGCAATTAACCGCATTTGGGGTGGATTTTCCACAATATCCCACAGCTCTTTAGCTTTCAGGAAATATTCCATCTTTGGAGCCCAAATAATATAATTCTTCTGACCCAAACGTGGCAAAGAGGTCTCCTTAATTTTCTCAGTCATCCTGCAAGCTTTTCTCTGTCTTGTTTCTCCTTTTAAACACAGACAGTCTCTCTCAGCTTAATTACAATGCAGTCTTTACATGTGGTCTGGTTTTGGCTGGGCCCATAACCTGTTAGAATTTGCAGCAACCTTTCAGAAGATATCAAATATTTCTCCAAATAGGTAACCCACCTGACTGCTGACCTTCTCTTTTGTAAGGATAATGCTGTTGTTTTAATTCACCATAAGTCAGGCCCCAAACCAAGAAAGACATGTGGTGATTCTTTCCAACTATATTTTTATTGTTTCATATCTATGGACAAAATCTTGCCAGACTAAGCATTCTATCTGCATCTACAGTACATTCTGACAACAATTAGGGAGTGGCTGTCTTCACCCTCTTTCTCTCACACAAAATATCTGGAGTGAGCTGTTTCTGACTTCTATGTAATGCACCCTCTTCCTCTGGGAATCCACTTCCTTAGTACATTCTATCACACTCTCACTGAGCCCATTATTTGTTCTAGATGATGGAATGATCTGATTCAATAGAAGGCAGGTTTATATGGAGGAGTGTCAGCAACTGGACTTTTCCCCTTCAGAATGAACTTCTGAAAACTAAATGTTTCAAAGGGAATCCTTTATTGAAATGGGGTGATTCCAGCACCATTCAAAACAGAGTCTAAATGCTTCCAGGCATGCAGTAATAGATAAGGGGAGTTAGGACCCCTCCCCTTATCTAGATGTATATTTAGTCAAACAAAGAACCAACATGTTAATTCCCCCTCCCCTTCTCTGAGAACGTATCTTTTGAAGAGTTCCCAGGGAGTATCTTCTGGAGCTGGAATTTTTATGGTCCCTTCTCTGCTTGCTGTCTCTTCAAGAGGTGACAAGTTTCTGGACATCTGGCTTCAATCCTCCAGTTGTATATCATGTGTAGGTTATACAGATTCAATATAAGATTTAATATTTTCAGGTTACATCAAAAGGATTACTTGTACCAACTTCCCCCCCTCCACACCCTTCTTCTTCCATTGAAGAATGGCAGATACACGGATCTGACAAGGAGATAGCAGCAGATATTCTGTATGTGTCCATTTGTGGGAATGGGTAAGGCTTCCTGGGAACCTGGTGATTGGAAAGGGAAGCATCTGGGAAATGATACAGCATACCCCTCACCAGGACCTTAGGGAAAGAGGCATCTGAAATTAAGTGAGATTGAGATATAAAACTCTCAGTGTGGACTAATTATTGCATTAATTGTTATAAATATCATTCACACTAAATACATCATTCACATTGGAGGGGCTCTCCAATTTTATAAGCAGGAGAAATTAGAATCTTCTTGGAAGAATCATATGCTTGGTGGAAATTGTTTGGTGAGATGACTGGCCATATAAATCACTCAATAAATTACTAAATGTCTGTCACAACTTCAACTGTCATAGTGTAAAGAAGATCATGTTTCTATGACAGATTATCAAGTTATGGCATCATCTTCCTATTCAGGTCTCCGAGGAACCCACATGGAGCATGTCTATGACTTCTATAAGCCAGACCTGGCTTCAGAGTATCCTATGGTAGATGGACAGCTTTCCATTCAGTGCTATTTCCAGGCTCTTGATCAGTGCTATGCCACATATCGAAAGAAAATTGAAAGCCAGTGGCAGAAAGGTCTGTATGTCTGGAAAGCTAAGCTTTCCCCTGTTGTTTTTTTTTCTCATCCTCTTATATTATGCAAGTATGGCTTGGAATAGAGTTCCACCCATGGAAAGTTGTACTTAAGATGTGAAAAGGAAATAGTAAACACAGTATTAGAAAATAAAAGAGAAATAGTCCTCATCTTGTGCAACTATATTGAAAGGGACCATGATCTTAAAATTAATTTGTGTTTTAGATTAATGTTTTAGGCAGTGGAAAAGGAGAAGGAAGAATCTTGAACACATAGCTCTGTTTAACAATCTGATGTAAGGATTCTGAAGTAAGAAATATACTCCTTCTCTTTATTTCAGGACCTTTCCTCATGACTGAATTACTGAGTATCTACCTTAACTTGGTAGAAAGGAATATTTACACGAACATTCACTGTCCCCATTGTCAATTCTTTTCTGACCTCAGTTGTCTCTTTTCCAAGCTGGTTTCCATATAAGATAATAAAAGTGATACAGCCTAACAGATTTACTTACTTTAATAAGGGTGTAGATTTAGAATAACAGAGTTGGAAATAACTTTGTAGGTCAGCGGTGTCAAACTCAATTTCATTGAGGGCTGCATCAGGACTATGGTTGATCTCGGGGAGCTGGGTGGGTGTGGTCAACTGTGTGGGTGTGGCCAAATGGATATGTGTGGCCAACTGGATGGGCGTGGCTAGTTTGACACTACTCCCCAAACTGCTGGCATGTTTCCTTTTCTCACTGGGTAGACCGGGCCAAAGCCAGGCTGGCCCTATCTTTCCTCTTCACATTGGGTAGACCAGGATGGCCCTGGGGGCCGGATCAGACCACATTGTGGGCTGAATCTGGCTTGCAGACCTTGAGTTTGACACCCCTATTGTAGGTCATCTAGTCCAACCTCTTGCTCAAGCAGGATACCCTATGCCATTTCTGACAAGTGGCTGTCCAGTCTCTTCTTGAAAGCCTCCAGTGATGAAGCACCCACAACTTTTGAAGGCAAGCTGTTCCATTGGTTCATTGTTCTCACTGTCAGAAAATTTTTCCTTATTTCTAGTTAAATAACTCCTTGATCAGTTTCTATCCATTGTTCCTTGTCTGGCCTTTGGGTGCTTTGGAAAATAGGTTGTACCCCTCTTCTCTGTGACAGCCCCTCAAATATTGGAACACTGCTATCATGTCACCCCAGGTCCTTCTCTTTACTAAACTAGCTATGCCCAGTTCTTGTAACTGTTCTTCAGATGTTTTAGCTTCCAGGCCCCTAATCATCTTTGTTGCTCTTCTCTGCATTCTTTCTAGAGTCTCAACATCTTTTTTATAGCATGGTGACCAAAACTGGATGCAGTATTCCAGATGTGGCCTTACTAAGGCTTTACTACTTACTAGTACCTCACGTGATCTTGATTCAATCCCTCTTGATTGAATTCCTAATACAATTTCGGATTGCATTGGCTTTTTTGGCTGCTGCTGCACACTGCTGGCTCATACAGTAGAACCTCTGGTCATGACCATAATTCATTCCATAACTTTGGTTGCAACCCAATTTGGTTGTGAGTCAAACTAATTTTGGAAATTTGATGCTTACCAAAAAAAATGGTGTGGAAGGGGAAATCGGCTGTGAAAAAAAAATGTGAATTTTTTGGTCGTAACCCGATTTGGTTTTGGCCAGAAGTGTTCATGACCAGAGGTTCTACTGTATTTAATTGGTTGTCCACTAAGACTCCAAGTTCCCTCTCACAGTTACTGCTATTAAGCCTGGTTTCACCCAGTCTATATGTGTACTTTTGGTTTTTCTTGCCTAAGTGTATGACTCTATACTGAATTTTGTTAGATAGGGCCCAATGTTTAAGTCTGTTGAGATCCAACTGTATCTTGGTGCCTATCATCTAGGGCAGTGGTCCCCAACCTTTTTTGTACCAGGGACCGGTTTCAAGCAGAAAATTTTTGCAAGGACTGGGGGGGGGGG